CACCCGTGCTGGAGCTGCCGACTCGGGGGTGTCACCATGGTGCTGTCCGCCGCTGACAAGTCCAACGTCAAGGCCGCTTTCGGCAAAATCGGCGGCCAGGCCGAGGAATATGGCGCCGACGCCCTGGAGAGGTACAGTGGCTGTTCCCGGAGGGACCCTCTCCCCTCTCCAGCCCCGACCCCCTGGCATCTGCCCCCTCCTCTCCCCATCCGTCTGTCCTTTGCCGCCCTGTCTCACCTGTCTCTGCATCCCTCTGTTCTCCAGGATGTTCGCCGCCTACCCCCAGACCAAGACCTACTTCCCCCACTTCGACCTAAACAAGGGCTCCGCTCAGGTCAAGGCTCACGGCAAGAAGGTGGCGGCTGCACTGGTCGAAGCTGCCAACCACATCGATGACATTGCTGGTGCCCTCTCCAAGCTCAGCGACCTCCACGCCCAAAAACTCCGCGTGGACCCTGTCAACTTCAAAGTGAGTGTCTGGGAAGGGGTGACCAGCCCAGCCTCCCTCCTGCACCCCTTGGCTACCCCCTTGCCTCGTTCCCTCGCTCACCACGTCGTTTTGCCTTTCAGCTGCTGGGCCAGTGCTTCCTGGTGGTGGTGGCCACTCGCAACCCCGCTCTCCTGACCCCAGAGGTCCACGCTTCCCTGGACAAGTTCCTGTGCGCCGTGGGCACTGTGCTGACTGCCAAGTACCGCTAAGACGAGTACCGTGGCCAGAGCTGGACCCAACACGCCACCAGCCCTCCGACAGCGAGCAGTCAAATGTTCTGAAATAAAATCTCTTGCATTTGTGCTCCAGCTCTGGTGTCCTGCTCTGTGCGCTGCCTGCGGGAAGGGAGCGGGGGGGATGTGCTCTGGGGCTCTGAACTGGAGGTCTCCCCACCAGGTGGGTACATGGAGGAAGGGGGCTCTGGTTTTGCTGTCGCTGAGAGGAGGCAGCATCTGGGGGGTGGTGTCCAGCAGGCAGACACTGCTTTGCTACCCTGGGGCTCTGGGAGCAAACAGAGCATTTCTAGGCACCAGTGGAGGGGAGAGACTCATGGAAGATCTGAGGCTCCCTGCAGAATTCCACACTGGGATCCCCTCCTGCACCACCAGCCCCGTGCACCCTTTTTCAGGACTGTGTTGGAGGGCATCTCCTCCGGGAAATGTTGGCAGGAGATACAAAAAGTACAGGGGCTCCTGGCAGCTGTGACCCTCTGCCTGGGAGCAGAGTGAGAGCAGCCCGAGGACGTCCCTGTGCCAGGACATCTCTGCACACCCAGCACACAGGGCTGTGCAGCGGTGTAAGACTTCTCCTGTCTCCACCTAATGGTCCTTTGCTGGGGTGCCACTGCCGAGGGGTCCTGGGGAGCTGCAAGGGGAGCAGATGGGGCTCAGCTCCAGATCCAGCAGTGTGGGACGGTGTCAGGGCACAAAAAGGAGCCCAGGAGTTGTGCTGGTGTCTGCACCCCCCTAGCCCTTATCGCAGCCCGCAGCAGGGTGGCCGTGGTGGGGGGCTGATAAAGGAAAGTGTGGGCTCCCCTCCAGCTGTGGGTGTGGTGGGAGACTGGGCAGCAGATAGTCCTAGGAGGCTACAACCTGCCAGGTGCTGAGTAAGGGCTGGGAGGCCCTTAGTGAGGGGGGAAGGTTCAAGGAAGCCTCAGGGTGGCTCACAAAGCCAGCCAAGGTTGCCACAGGCTCCTTTGATCCTTGGCACTGGCAAGCATGGCCTCTTCCCTAGTCCCACAGCCTCCAGGCACCATCAGTGAATGCAGAGACAGGAGAAACTGCAATAACTCCAAAGAGAGAAGGAGGCCCTCCAGGGTCTCTTGTGCAAAGCACCACAGGCATCATCATCCCACATGCCCACTGTTCCTGGGCTCAGGGGGGAAGGGAGGAGAAAGCCAGTCTGGGCATCCCTGGCCAATCTGATCTACCTTTGGATAGAGCAGGTGCTGGAGCAGGTTCCACCCTTCCAGCCAGGAGCATCACCCAGGCAGAGCTGTAGGCACAACTTCCTGGGGATCTGGGGAGAACCAGGACACGGTGGGGGCTCAGGGCACCCTGGTGTGCAAGGAGGTGTGAACTGGTGGGGACAGCACTGGGAAGAGCCAGCCTCAAACCCAGCACGGACTCGGGCTCCTCCAAACCCAGCCCCTGAGGGCTGTCATGGTCCCCAGCACGGTGGGTAGGTGAGATAAGTGTAAGAGCAATGTGGGGACAGTGTGCATGTGAGGGGTGAACATGCACATGTCCCCAACCTGCTTTAGCTTCTGCCTTCTCCCAGGCCGTGCTGTGACCTCAGGCGGGACACAGCGGGTGGCCGTGGGCAGTGTCCTGCCTCTGCAGCGCTTTGCCGAGGTTCTGCCCGGCCCGAGCTGCCGAGCTCGTGTTGTCCCAGCCGTTTGTCCCTGCTGCCACAAGATGGGGACCTCAAGCCGTGGTCCTTTATCGGGGCCGGGCAGAGGTGAGGGCTGGCAGGAGCGGGGCTCCCGGGTGCTCTGGGGACACTGCTGCTGGCTCGGAGCGGGGTGCAGGACCCCTCCCCATCATGTGCCGAGCCGAGAGTTCCAACCCCGGCCCCCTCTGGCCCATAGCACAGGGGCTCCCTTCGCTGGGCATCCCTTGGTGGCCATGGCTCCGTGTGCCCCAGGACACACAGCCTGCCCCGTGGGACACACACGCTGGCCGCAGCTTGGCACTCCCCGAGCTGCCATCCCTGCATCCCTGGAACCCACCAGCACCACAGCAGCCCTGCTCTGCAGCAGAACACGTCAGGTGTTTGCCCCAGTGCTGCAGCTGGCAGTGCTGCAGCTCCGGTGCTGAGGAGAGAGCTGGAGGCAAATTCTGCACTGCTACAGCAGAGCAGCCTGAAGAGCCCCAGCTGACTCTGAGGAGGTGGATTTGGACACAAAGCCCCCTGATCCAGGCCATGGCAGCACTCAGGAAGCCAAATCACACCAGGCAGCTTCCACAGAAGAAAGAAGATGTATATCTCCAGGCCATGGCTGTTTTGATGTCTCCACTCTCTGCAGGCCTTTCTCAGCTCTCATTTATCCTTGATGGACAAAGCAGCCGGGTTCAAAGATACCCCCAGAACAGCACAGTGTTCTGTCCTGTGGTGTCACCAAGGCAAGTGGCATCTCAGAGCTCATTTTTATTGAAATGACATCAGGAAATGAGCTTGGTGGTAAAGACTTACCCAATCACAGGACTTCCACCAGTCTCCTGAGGGGCTGCAAACAGCATTGGCCAGATGGGTTGGATTCTAATCTTGTTTTGTTGGCTAGATAGTCATGTCCCTTCAGAGTGTGTCCTGGAAAGGGACACAGAAACACATACTTCTGGAGGAGGTCAAGCATCCCAGGGGAGTTTTACAGGAATTCTCCATGAATTTTCTATCTTCCCAGTAGCAAGGGGGATCTAGCAAACAAGCAGTGGGAAGACAGGGAATTAATTCTGCACTGGAAGCTGATCTCAGGAGACCAGTCGAGAGATCCTCTTGTTGGAATGAGGGAAATCGTGGAGTGTTTTACAAACTGTTCTTTTCTATACATCACATATTGGAATTCAATATGGCAATAGTGTAACCCAGGAGTGGTGCAGCCAACAGGTCTTGTGCTTCTTTGCTGTGTGTTTGGACAGGCACTCTCCTAAATGTCAGATTTTCCCTGCTGAAATGATCTCCCTGATTTGTCTGGACCCTTTTGAATTTTAAGCCAGTGCTTGCAGCTCCTCCAGCTCAAGAATATTTGAGAACTTAATAATGACATTCTCCACTACAACACAAGTTATTGATGACAGAACAGTAAAGAATAATGGTAAACAAAGAACTGGAATCTGTCACGGAAGGAAAACAGACTCATCTGAAAGGATTCATTCTTGGCAATGGCCATGATTATTACTCATCTCCTTCTTCGATTAAAAGTCCCACTGTTTGTTGTTGTTTTTTTTTACTTGAAGCCAACTGGTTTGTAGTTCCTTGGTTTCCTCCTTTTACCCTGCTAATCACAGGAGATGGTCTGATTTCTGTGAACCCATCCCCTTCCCTCTTTTTCCAGAGATATTGGATGTTTGGAGGTGGCTTCCATCAGTTTTTGAGGTAAAGGGGATTTTTTTTTTTCAGGCAAGCGGTCTGAAAATAAGGAATGATTGAAATACACTTTAATTCAAACTTTTTTGAATCCTCCCACCTCCTCCACTGGCTGTTTCACCAGTGGAAAAAAGGAAAAGTGGTAGAAGACAGAAAATGAGCATTGATTAGATTTTCACTACAAAGATGGAAATTGAATAGAAATGCAAAATCTTTCTTCCTGCTGGTTTCCCTGTCTTCCTACCACACAGCAACCACCTGGGAGATCTGATTTTGCTTGGAGATGAGGTGATAGGCAAGGCTCTGCTGGTGACATCAGCGCTTCCTCTCTCCGTGTGTTGTTTTTCTGTGTTTTTCAGCAGCAGGAGATGCCATCTGGGGAGGGCACAGCTCTGGTTGTGTTCCTCCAGCTCCCACACAAGCAGTAAGAGCAATTCCAGAGGCTGCATTCCTGTCTGTTGCCTTCAGCATCTGTCTGCTGCTCACGAATTTGCTCTACCTTTTATAAACCTGCTGATCCTATTTGTTTCCACAACCTCCTGTGGTAGTGAGTTCCAGAAGTTCATTCTCCCACCTGCTCCAAATAAAATCCTTTTTATCCATTTTAAGTCAATCTACCAGACTGATCGATGGCCTCTAACTCTCATCATACACCAGGTCCACATTCTCTTTATGATTTTGTAGGGCTGGCATGTTTTTCTCCCCCTTCTCCAGAGAAAAATCCCAACCTCCCCAGAACTCACTCATATTGCAGCTCCCCCATCCCTTTGATCTCAGTTGCCCTGCTCAGGGCTCGAAGCCCACAGTGTTCTTACATCCTGAGATGTTCTGTTGTGACAAGACAAGGGGTGATGGTTTCAAGCTAAGAGGTTTGATTTAGATTAGATATAAGGAAGAAGTTTTTCACAATGGAGGTGGTAAAACATTGGCACAGGTTACTCAGAGAGATTGGGGTGCTCCATCCCTGAAAACTTTCAAAACCAGGTTAGATGGGGCTCTGAGCAACCTGACCTAACGGAAGCCATCCCTGCCTATGGCACAGGGGATGAACTAGACAACCTCTAAAAGTCCTTTCCTACCCAAATTGTTCCATGAGTATAGGATTTTATGATCAGAGGTCAGACCTGCACAGATATGGGTGCACCAAGCTGTTACACAACAGGCAGGAGGTCTCTCTTTCTCATTTTACAAGCCCTTCCTGATGACATCAACATATTTTGTTGGCTTCTTTTTTTCTGCACATCAAGCCTACAATTTTGGCAAACCATCAGGGAGGACTCCAGCATCTTCTTCCTGAGATGTAATAGCCAGTATAAGTCCAGCCTCCTCTGTTTTAGATAATATTTCCCTATCTCTTTATCTACACTGAAAGGATTGACCTTCTGTTTTCCCATTTGTGAGTAACACAGAGAGCTGCACAGTGCAAAGTTCCACAGAGTACATCAAATATCCTTTCAGCAGTCTCCTGCAGTGCTGGAGCATCATCTGACTGTTCTGTAAAAAGACTGAAACTGTGCAACTCTAACAGCAGAGTTTTGGTCCCCAGTCCTGGGGTACAGTTCTTCATTGTACTCTTCCTTCCCCTGTCAGAGTGACTTCAAGTCAGGCTGCTGGGGGGACACAATTCAATGAAGATCTAGCTGAAGATAGTTAAAAGAGAGAGTTTTCCAGTCAGTGCCACTTTTTTACTCCTTGCACTAGGATCAAACAGAGCAGCAGACTGTGCCAGCTCTGTTCTCTCCAGAGACTTTTGCACATGGCCAGGAGGATCCCAGCTATGGATTTATGGAAAGCAATACAGCAAAATGTGCATTGCAGCTGCTCATCCAGAAAGCTTTTAGACATCCCTCAATAGCTGAGCAGCTCAGTGCCTTTATTAATAGTAGAAATGTATTTATCAAAATTCATGGGTCAGCACAGTTAAAGCTCCATAAATCCAATTTGCACAGGCCACCATTATTTATTTTTCCAGGTTGTTGCCTCAAAGAGGGATACTTCCAGTATATAATCCAGACTTCTCCACAAGCCTGTTTGAAACACTGTAGGAAATACACTCTGCAGAACAGGGTCTTCCTCTTTTCTCTGACTTCCTGATGAAGGGCTGTATGCAGGACTCATGACCAAAGAGCAAGAAGCAGAAGTGGTCAGCCCTAACCATCACAGGGACACCGACACCACATCCAGAGTGTCACTGGCTCAGACAGAAGCGCTGGCCCCAGCATGGCCATGGTCCCTCAGGTTTCAGCACAGACAGAACCCCCCATGTGGTTTTCTGAGTCCTGTGGGGTTTTTGATGCCACACAGGATGAGGCAGATGCCACTGCAGCTGTATCTTCTGCCTGGCTGCAGGTCTTTGTGACCCACCTGCAGCACTGCCTGTGCGTGTGGAGGAAGCTTCATCTTCTCCAGCTCCAGCCTCAGCCCTAATCCAGCTCTGCAGCCAAAACGAGACCGTCCCTGGCCCAAACTCACCCCTTCTTGGCTGCTTAGCCAAAGGGAAAAAGAGCAGCCCAGACAGTCACTAAGGCAATGACAACATTTTCATGTCCCCATGTGTTTGGAGCAGCTGTCAGTCTGGAGGTGGCATGTTCTACAGCATCCATCCACACAGTTACAGCCAACACTGGAATGCTTTTCTTGGGAACAAGCAACTCCAAGGGACCCAAGCTGTGAAAGAAAAAATAGGTATTGTAACACATTCTGGATCTGACTTTGCATTGTGTTAGATAAGTTTAATTTATGCTCAAGTCTTTGAGATTCAATGGCATTTTTTGTCTCTTTTAAGAGGAAAATTACTAGAAACGGCACTTCAAGAAAGTAATTCGTAAGGGCTGATTGGAAATGAGCTGATATCTTTAAAAGTGGAGCTGAAGGCTGACTTAATGTGGGATAGGGACAGAAGGGTTTATTTGTTTTCCTCTTAGAAGGAGAGCTCTGAAAATCCAAGGATGGTATCACACAGGGGCAAATGGAAATGAACAAGCAGTGAGCAAATTGAAGCTGGAAATTAGCAGAACAGTCTTTTCCCATCCCTTGAGCTTTATGTGCTCAAGCTTCTGGGCTGACTTCAGGGAAGTCTTCTCCTAAATCAGATGAGGACACTGCCAGCTTTGAGCACACAGTCTGCTCTGACTGGGGTTTTGGTGATGTCAGAGTTCCTAGAAAATGGCATGCACTTCCCTGGGGGATTTCCTTCCCATGACCCAGGAGTTTATTACAAAGAGTAACATCTTGCGAGAGCAACCCGCGAAGATTTTGAGCTCCAGAAGTAGAAACTCCATTTCCAGGTGTTTGACTGGGAACAGGCCTGCAGTCCCCAGCTAAGCTGAGCCGTAAGGGAGCGGTGGGATTCTTGCCTGAGCAAGGACTCCAAGTCTGTCCCTAAGCTGCATTGTTTCTGCTGGGGAACTATCCCAAGCAAAACACAGGTAAAATAAAATCCTTAACTCTTTTGAAATCAGCTGGAAAATCGGCGAATGAGTTGACGATGCCTGTGAAAGGCACATCTCCCGTGAGTCCCATGAACATGGCAGATGGGTGAGAGCAGAGAGAGCGATCGGACCTCCCAGGAACGAGCATCAATGAAATCACCCATCAGTCGAAGGGCTGAGCCCCCGCAGCGATGTCCCGTCTGAGCGGCGGGCTGTCCGCTAATGACCGAGGCATGAGAATATTTGCGATTTTAAACCCACGCCAAACACCGCCTTCCTCGGCCTGCACGGCGCCGAGCAGCGCAGCCGGGAGCACCCCCTGCCCCTGCCCGGGATGCTGCGAGGCTCATCCCGGGGGTGAGCGGGGCGGCCCAGCTGCCAGCTGCTGCCCGCTTGGTGCCTC